TGAACGGATGAATGAAAATGTTTTACCTTGTACTCGAACTACGTTGGGCCTGAATTCTCCTTGTGAGATACGTAGGCAGCTTCCCTAGGCCCGACCCCTATCTTTAAAAATTTTCATCCCCCTCCTCCATGTTACGAGAAGATACGAAGACTGGATCAACAGACGTCCAAAAGCAGCTGCAAGAAGACCGCAGCTCAACGTGATTTAGCCTTCCCGAGACTGTGTCAAAGCTAAAACAAGCAAACTCCTGCTTGTTATAAAAATGTATGTGTTTCTGTCCTCACTCGTGGGTTGAAGATATCCTCAAACAAAGAAACTTGTGTGTTTATCTGCTCTCTGTGTGATATTATGCATTTTTGTACTCTCAATCTGCACTGACAAATCTGCTTTTGAGATGTTTTCCTTCTCAGGTACTTTGAAACTGATCTGTGTCGATCAAAAGCTGGAAAATCATCCTTATTTCACAAGATCAAAAGGTCCCACAGATTCCTTCCCTAGACAAAGCTCAGACAGAGGAAAGGCATTCATGGGAGATAACAATGAAGAAGTGAGTCTTATTGACATTGTGGCGGCTCAGCCCACCATAGCAAAAATGAATGAGCTGATTATGCAGCTGATGCAACAGATTGTAGAGATGAGAGTGCAAATGCAACGGAGACAGGATCTGCCTCAACCTGGATTTTCTTCTAACGCTATTGATGGGAGGCCTCCAATATACTTCCCTTTCTCAAATATGGATCCAACTCAGAACCAGCCTTCTACACCTGTTCATAATCCGTCAATTATAGATCTAATTACCAAAAATCCCCAATATGCTTCAGCATCCTACCAAACTCCATCTCCTCTTCAAAACAACCATCCTCAAATGTCACCCCATCCCCAAAATACTCACCATTAGACCGCTCCACCCCCACAAAACCAAAACCAAAACAAAGATCAAAACCTAAATGCTTTCAATCCCCAAACACCCCACAACCACTTAAATCAGAACACTACTCCTCAGGCCTACCCACAAAATCACTAAACCGCCCAAAATGTTCCAAGTCCCTCCATAGCTCCACGCCTACCAAAGAGAGCCACCTTCCAATTTCCCGTTACTGCCGAGCATGAGGTGCACGGTTCTGAGTTGGACCAATATAAAGAACAGGAAAAGGAATGGAGGGAAAAGGAGGACGCAAAGATCGATATAAAAGGGTAAATAAAAAAGGCCATGAAAGAGATACAGTACATCCCAGACATTACTGGACTCAGTTACGAGGATTTGTGCATCCACCCAGATTTGAACCTTCCCGAAGGGTTCAAGATTCAGAAGTTTGACACCTTTGGAGGAGTGGGCAACCCCATGGATCATTTGAGAGCCTATTGTGACCAGCTCATGGAAGTTGGCAGGGATGAGGCCTTGTTGATGCGGCTTTTTAGCCGAAGCCTGTGCGGGGAGGCCCTTGAATGGTTTACTTCACATGAAACCAGGCAATGGCCCAGTTGGAATGCGTTGGCCAAAGACTTCATCGACCGAGTTGCCTATAATGTCGAAATAGTTCCCGATCGGTATTATCTAGAGAAGATAAAGCAAAAGCCAACTTAAAGCTATACGGAGTTCGCCTATAGGTGGAGGAAGGAAGCAACAAGAGTAAGGCCTCCCATAACTGAGAAAGAGATCGTCGAAGTATTTGTGCCGGTGCAAGAGCCAGAATACTACGACAGAATCATGTTGCTCGTTGGAGCAAAATTTTCCGAGATAGTAAAAATTGGTGAGACTATCGAAGACGCTTTGAAATCGGGGAAGATAGTCGTGTATCCGTGTTACCTGGATCTTCAGGATAGCTCAAGAAGAAAAGTGAAGAAGTTGCCGCTGTCTCGTATGGGGGAAGAAAAAACCCCAGAGGCTCGTCGTATTCCCAAGGTCGTTATAGTCCTTCCCCAAAGTCCCACCAAGCTTACTACCTGCAATCCAGTCATCCCAACAATCATAATACTACCCCCACTTATCCGAATGCCCAAGTTCTGTTGTACCAGAGTCCACCCCTTAATCTTCAAAATTTTTCTCCCATGTACCCAAATTACCCTCAATCTTACAAAATTCCATCTCCCTATTAGAATATTGCTTCAAACTGTGCCAATGTACAGTCGAGCTACCGAGCACCCCCGCCCATTTATCAAGTCCAGGATCCATTATACAAAAATCCCCTTCCGAATTACCAAGCTCCATTGCCAAATTACCAAACAAACCCATACCTTAGAAACCAAGCTCCCCGTCCGAATACCCAAAATAATGAGCAGGTGCCTCCCCCTCAACAAAGCGGTTATGACCCTTCCAGATCCAGATTTGAAAAGAGTCCTTCAAGGAACTTTACTGAAGTTGCTGAAAGCCGGACCAAACTGTATGAGAGACTGGCTGCGGCTGGATACATCCACCCTGTGAGGCCCAAGCCAGTGGATGTTAATTCAAAGTTATACAAGCCCGATCAGAGATGTGCTTATCATTACAACAATGTTGGACATGATACGGAACATTGTATCAACCTCAAGCACAAAATTCTGGATCTGGTCGATTAGGATGTAGTTTATCTCCAACCGGAGGTGCTAAATGTCAACACAAACCCGTTGCCGAATAATGGAGGTGGCAATGTTAATATGATCGAAACGGATGAAGACTGCTGTGGAATGAAGATGATTACCCCGATCATTCACGGCGATTTGGAGAGGGCTATCGCTTTTTTAAGCATCAAAGAAAAGAGAGAGTTTGTTATTTTGACACCTATAAAGGTTGTTGCCTTGGTGCCGTCAGAAACTCTCGCCAATCCTAAATTTGTCATTAAGAATGCGGCGACTCAACGCATGACCTGGTCTGGAAGGTGTTACGCTCCTGATGAGCTTGCTCTCGGAGGACAGAAGAAGGACAAGGCTAAGAGACCGATAAATGAAGGAGAAGCGAAAGAGTTCTGGAGAAGGATGCAACCAAAGGATTATTCCATCGTCAAACATTTAGAGAAGACTATGGCTCAAATCTCTGTATGGGCCCTGCTGATGAGCTCTAAGTCCCATAGGCAGACCTTAATGAAAGCTCTCGATGATACATACATACCCTCTGGTACAAGTAGTGATAACGTGGCTACCATGATTCATCAGGTTACTCGAGGGCACCGGATCAACTTTTGTGACGATGAGCTGCCACTCGAAGCAAGATCACATATCAAAGAGTTGCACATTACCATGATATGCATGAAAAGGTTGTCAACCACTTCTTATTACATGACGGGTCCGCTTTGAATATCGTCCCATTGTAGACGTTGAGGCAGTTAAGGTTTGACCTTGGGAAACTGGAGCAAAATCAGGTCAACGTGAGAGCTTTTGATGGTGTTCAAAGAGACACATTGGGGGTAGTGAATTGGACCCTTCAAATGGGACCCGCAGAGTTTAGCGCGCAATTTCAAGTATTAGATATAGATACCACTTACAACCTTCTTTTGGGAAGGTTGTTCATCCATATGGCTGGAGTCGTCCCTTCTTCTCTCCATCAAATGATGAAGCTTGTGTGAAAGAATGAAGAGTTGGTTATTCACGATGAGGGGAGTCACCTTGGAAGGCAGGTGCCGATCATTGATGAGATACCGCGAGGTACAGACTTTTATATGGTGGAGCTAGTGAATGCCACCGGTGACGGCTTGGCCCCGCAGACCCCCATGCATGCTGTATACAAAATGATAGACACTTTAATGCTGCAGAATGGTTTCGAGCCAGGGTTCGGATTGGGAAGATATTCCCAAGGAATTATTGAGCCTGTTCCGGTCCTTGTTAAGGGATCAAGATATGGCTTTTCTTACATCCCCACAGATGATGACATGAAGGTGAAGAAGAAAAATGATCAAGCTTTGATTAAGCCAATTCCACATCTGTATCAATTATTTGCAATACGGGAGTATGCCGAGCATGAATACGTTAGGGAAGGAATCTGTGACCTCTTCGAGGATATCGATGTTGTTGCCAAAGAGAAGGTCGATCTAGCTGGTATTCGCGATGCTGAAAAAGGGGACGTGCTGCAAAATTGAACCTCCAAGCTGATCCTGATACCCCGAACTCTTCGGTAGAAAGGCGTCATTTCATGCACATTAAAATCGGTGGTAGTTCGGAAAAGGCCCGAGACCCACCATTTTGCAATTTCTTAGTTGTTCAAATTTTTAATTTTCATTGTGATGTTCAAAAAGGAAACATGTCCCCATGCCATGGCCAAAGTTTGCTTTGTTTTTAAATGAAAGCCTCTTTCTTTTAACCTTATTTATTTAGTTGTTTGTTATGCCTTACTTTCCTAATTTTGTCTGTTTATGATTTCAGTAACATAAGTTATAGATTCGCCAATGTCATGTCATGTCACGAGCTAAATGAACAAAATGAGGCAGGTGACAACGGGGTTGACAATTCTGGAGAAGAAAGTGAGGAACCAGACTGCCGTCGAGGAATTCCGGCAGTTCGAGAATCAGCATAAACCAAATCTAGAGGAAACGAAAACAGTGAATTTTGGAGATTCGGAATGTCTTAAAGAGGTTAAGATCAGCATCCACCTAAATGAGGTTCAGAAGGAGGTACTAGTTCATTTGCTTGTCGAATATAGTGATGTGTTTGTTTGGGAAGTTGGTGACATGCAAGGGTTGAGTACCGATGTCGTATCTCATAAGCTACTGATCAACCCAGGGTTCGATCTGGTGAAGCAAAAAACTCAAAAATTCAAGCCTGAACTGAGTTTGAATATTAAAGAAGAGATCACCAAGCAAATAGAGTCCCAATTGGTGGAAGTAACACAATATCCAACCTGGCTGGCTAACGTTCTTTCGGTCGCCAATAAAGACTGGAAAATAAGGATTTGTGTTGACTATAGAGATCTCAACAAAGCTAGTCTGAAGGATAATTTTCCGTTGCCGAATATTCATATTTTGAATGACAACTGAGCCAAACATGAGATATAGTCATTTGTGGACTATTACGCAGGTTATCACCAAATTATGATGGATGAAGAAGATGCGGAAAAAATGACTTTCATTAGACCTTGGGGTGTAAATCACTACAGGGTGATGCCGTTCGGCCTCAAGAACACCGGTGCCGCCTACATGAGAGCCATGACAATTATTTTTCACGACATGATTCATAAGGAGATTGAAATGTACGTGGACAATGTCATAATCAAATATCGTGAGTGTTCGAATCACTTGACACATCTAAGGAAATTTTTTGATCGTTTGCGTCGGTACAACTTGAAGTTAAATCCCGCCAAATGCGCTTTTGGAGTTCCAGCGGGGAAGTTGTTGGGATTTATAGTCAGCAGAAGGGGTATTGAACTCGACCCCTCTAAAATTAAAACAATTCAAGAGTTACCTCCTCCGAAGATGAGAAAAGAGGTGACGATTTTCTTAGGGAGGTTAAAGTACATCAGTCGATTTATAACTCAATCAACTGTGGTATGCGAGCCTCTTTTCAAGCTGCTAAAGAAAGACGCCACGACAAAGTGGACTGAAGAGTGTCAGACTACTTTTGATGCTATCAAGAACTATTTGTCCAATCCGCCAATATTGGTTCCTCCGTGAGAAGGGAGTCCTTTGTTGCTGTATTTGTCTGCCTCAGATAGTGCATTTGGATGCGTACTTGGTCAACACGACGAGACAGGAAAGAAGTAAAGGGCTATTATTATATAAGCAAGAAGTTTACTCCATACGAGTATTGTTACACTTTGTTGGAAAGAACGTGTTGTGCATTGACATCACTTGCCCAAAAGTTGAGACACTATTTGTCTTCAAATACTACATACCTCATTTCCAGAATGGATCCATTGAAATATATTTTCCAGAAAGCGATGCCGACCGGATAGTTAGATAAATGGAAAATGTTGTTGAGTGAATTTGACATTGTGTATGTGACTCAGAAAGCGATAAATGGACAGACTTTGGCTGATCATCTTGCAGAAAATCCCATTGATGAAGAGTATGAACCAGTTAAGACTTATTTTCACGATGAAGAAGTGTCGTTTGTGGGTGAAGATATTTCTGAGGCATATCCAGGTTGGAGATTATTCTTTGATGGAGCAGGGAATCATCAAGGTAAACGTATTGGAGCAGTCTTAGTGTCAGAATCTGGTCAGCACTATCCCATGGCGGCTAAGCTTCGATTTATTTGCACAAACAACATGGCTGAATACGAAGCTTGTATTCTTGGTTTGAAAATTGCCATCTACATAAATGTTTATGAGTTATTGGTTATTGGAAACTCAGATCTTTTGATTCATCAAGTTCAAGGAGAATTGGCTGTGAAGAACCCGAAGATTATACCTTACGTACAGTATGTGCATAAATTGTGCAAAAGATTCTGTAAAATCGTGTTCAGACATACTCCCAAAATACATAATGAATTGGCCGATGCTCTTACCACCATTGCTTCGATGATTAAACATCCGGATACAAATTATATTGATTCTCTGGATATAGAGTTGAAAGAACATCCAATCCATTGTTCCCATGTTGAAGCAGAACCAGACGATTTTCCTTGGTATTTTGATATAAAGAAGTATTTTGAGTCTGGAACTTATCCCAAAGATGCTCTGTCCAATTAGAAGAAGTCGATACACCGTATGACTCTCAATTTCTTTCTAAGTAGAGAAGTCCTGTATAGGAGGACTCCAGACTTAGGTCTTCTTAGATGTGTGGATGCTGTTGAAGCTGTGAAGTTTATTGAACAGATACATGCCAGAGTTTGTGCACGCATATGAATGGACTAAATTTGGAAAGAATGATCCTACAATCCAGATATTTCTTGATGACTATGGAGAATGATTGTTGCATGTTTGTGCAGAAAATGTCATAAGTGTCAGGTGCACGGTGACTTGATCCGAGTGCCACCTCACGAGCTTAATGCTATGAGTTCACCTTGGGCATTTGTAGCTTGGGGCATGTATGCCATCGGTCTGATAGAGCCAGCCACTTCTAATGGACACAGATTCATTTTGGTCGCCGTTGATTATTTCACTAAGTGGGTGGAAGCAGCTTCTTACAAGTCAATAACCAAGAAAGTGGTGGCTGATTTTGTTCGCAACAATCTGATATGTAGATTTGGAGTGCCAGAATCCATTATTACTGATAATGGGGCAAATCTCAACAGTCACTTGATGAGAGAGATATGTGAGCAATTTAAGATTACTAATTGAAATTCAAGTAGTTATCGTCCCCAATGAACGGAGCTGTAGAGGCCGCCAATAAGAATATCAAAATGATTTTGAGGAAAATGATCGACTAGCATCGAGGTTGGAATGAGATGTTACCATATGCTTTATTGGGATACCGCACGACTGTCAGGACATCAATTGGAGCCACTCCATATTTGTTAGTATATGGAACAAAAGCAATTATACCTGTTGAAGTCAAGATGCTGTCTTTGAGAATCATCCAAGAAGCTGAGTTGAGTAACGCTGAATGGGTTAGCAAGCGGATTGACCAACTAACTTTGATTGATGAGAAGAGAATGGTTGCCGTCTGTCATGGTCAATTATATAGGCAAAGAATGGTTCGTGCCTTTCACAAGAGAGTAAGAGCCTGAAATTTTGAAGTTGGTCAGTTGGTTATTAAGCGTATTTTTCCTCATCAAGACGAGTACAAAGGAAAGTTCGCACCAAACTGGCAAGGACCTTACATGGTTCCCAAAGTATTATCTGGAGGTGATTTGGTCCAATCGGAGATGGATGGCACTGTATGGCCTAAACCTATAAACTTAGATGTTGTCCAGAGATACTACATGTGAAGCTTCGGTTTGCATTTTATTGTTTACTTGTAATCATTTTGTTTGTTTGTATTTGTCTTGCTTAAATTCTACCCTTGTTGTAATGAACTACGTCTTACCTGATTTATCAAGGATGAGATACGTAGGCGGCCTATGTCGGCTTCGGTCACCCCCTTTTATACCCTGTAATTATTTCTTTGTATTTTGAACTATGTTCGACCTGAATTCTCAAGAACGAGATACTTAGGCGGCCTATGTCGGTCTCGGTTGATTTCTTTGTAATTTTTATTCATGTTAAAATTTTATGGGAATTACGTTTGACCTGATTCCTGCATCAACAGGATACGTAGGCGCCACAAGGGTTCGGTCATACCCTCCGTAAGATTTCTACCCCTCTTTACAATTGGGACAAAATTTTTGAGAGGGACTCAAAAATTCTCGAGAAGAAAATTCTTCCTCAGCAAGTCAAGACAGAAGATATTTTGAGATTTGCAACTGGGACATAATTTTTGAGAAGATCTCAAAAATTCCGCGATCTGCTCAGTTACAATGGAAAAATAAGCAATATGTTAACTGGGACAGAAATTTTGAGGATGACCTCAAAATTTCAACACAGATTTATCTGCAAGTCCTGGGCAACTCTGAAAAACTCCCCAGCGAATGATCAAATAGGCCTTCGAGCATTAGACTCAAAGAAGTTTGTTAAGCCTGATATGACATGACTTGTCAGAGACCATCTTTAGATACTATTTCTCGAAAATTTATTTCTCATAAATTTTCCCTTTTATTTTTCATTTCTTTTGACATAAAATATTGTCTTATCCATCAAGAGTGGGAAGGTCGGGAAATCAACCGGAGATCAGCCCGTTTATAAAACTAACAATGTTTCTATGGACGCAGGTTTATAGTTTGCTTTGAAATCAACAAATTCTTCCGATGAATGAATATGGAGAAGTCAAAAGAGGAGAAAACTATCCCAAAATCAATAGTTTTTCCTAGAAACAAGAAGCATTTTACATTACTTATGTCGAATACTTTGTAATATTAATTGTTTATTTCAATCCATTTCCAACGACATGAGATTTATAAAGAAACGTCTGGCTAATTCAAAGGTGAATCAAGCAAAAATCTCAAGGGAGAGTTTATGGTTTTCGTGAAGGACGCTATCTGCATCACATTATCAAACATGACAGTGTCGTTACCCGGAGAGGTCATTTATTTTATTATCAATCAAGACGATGCATTACCCAGAGGGGATAGTTATTTTATTGTCGATTAAGACAATGTAATATCTGGAGGACGTTTTATCGTTATCATCATTGGAGACGATATGAATAAGCATGCATCGCGAGTCAATATTCATGCATCGTGAGTCAATACTCGTGAATTGCAGAAAACCATGCATCGCGAGTCAATATTATGCGTCGTGGGAAGATTTCATACCCCGCAGAAAATTATGCGTCACGGGAAGACTTCATACCTCACAGAAATTATGCATCGTGAGAAGATTTCATACTTCATAGAAATTATACATCACGGGAAGATTTCATACCTCGCAAAAATCATGCATTGTGAGAAAATATTATACCTCGCAGAAATCATGCATCGTGAGAAGATTTCTTAACTCACTGAAATTATGCATAGCGAGAAGATTTCATTCCTCGCAAAAATTTATGCATCACAAGAAGATATTCATGTCATGTAAGAAAATATGCATCACGAGAAGATTTCATACCTCGCAGAAATTTACGCACCACAGGAAATATTTATCCGTTGGCATCAACCACATTCTGATTAAAGTAAACAACATGAAAAGTACGTTGACATCAAAACAAATATAAGCATCGCATCAGCATTTATTTGTTTCGATATTAAGTGAAGAGTGCATTGAAGATTACATTGCAAACACCAGGCATAAGCTTTATTTGCTTTACGTCAGACCGATCGAATTGACGTCGAATATCAAGGAGAACAACAGAGTGTCGACATGGTAAAAGACACTGTCTCCCATCCTAATTGCATTTTTAAGCTGACGAGTTTTTATCTCAGTCTTTGTCGAGAGCATCCAAAAGAATGAATTCTCCAAAAAACACAGGGGCGGGCGACGTCAAAAGGGATACGACACAACGTGGAAATTTTTCTTGGCAGCAAACTGGGACATAGTCCAAAGAGGATTGTCAAACTCTTAGGACGCGAGCAGAGGAGCGACTTCCAGCACAATCAAACCGCATCCCTATTAGAAGGAATGTGGGTTTTTCTTTGGTTTTTGTCAGTTTCGGTCTCGCATCCAAAAATTTTGATATCAGCCGGAAGAAAGTTTCCAATCTGAGTGACAGTGCAACAAGAGTTTTGGAAATTACGACTCTGTGAGTTCTTAATTATAGGTGTGAAGTTCACCACATTCATAACTAAGAGGTTACAAGTCTCTTTTTCATATTCGACTTAATTTGTTACTCATCCCCAACCAAAGGTCATCTAGCATAATAGATTTCCTTTTCAATCGATCGAGCTGAACCAGAAGCAGTCTGATTTCTAAGTGCAAGTATATGTAGGCGGGCCCAATGTTGAAACTCGGCTGTATTCCAAGATTCGCTCTTGAATCTTTTTCTTGAGAATTTTGGTACCTTCATGATCTGGTATTGAGATGACCTTGAATTTTTTCAAAATCATGAGTTAAATCAAGATTATCGAGCTACAAGTGGCCTAAATTCTCATATAGCCTGAGATATCTAGAAAATCCATTTTCGAGATTCAACCATAATTCCTAAATTCCGTACCAAATCTTGTTGAAAAGATGAATTTGTGCTCGGACAAAATTGGATTGGTCATATTTCATTTTCCTCGAATTTCTTGCATCAATCCTAGTAAAATGAGGGACAGTTGTTGACAACCAATTTTGACTCTCTCCGATAAATTAATCCGCGAGCTTCTCAAATTCCAACAAGTTTTAAATAGTTGACTTTATAAAATTCCAAACGTTTTTCAAGTCCTTTTAAAGTAGTTTTAGTAAATTTTTATAATTTTTAAGTGATATATACTTTTATGTATTTTTATATATTTAGTTTATTTTTATAAAAAATATTTGTTTATTTAGTTTTACTTAACGCTCTTTTAATTTGATTTTGTCCAATTAATATCCTATATTTCGATCCCTTAGTTTATAGTTAGAATAATTATGTTATTTTGTGTAGAATTAAGAGGCCCGTAAATTAATAAACGTCAATTTTATCTATTTAAAGTTTAATCGAAATTGCTAGTCAACTCAATTTGGTTAATTTTTAAAACTCATTTGGCCAAAACTGCAATCTATTGGCCAAATCCTTAATTCAAAATATTATTTTCTTGGTACCCACTGTGAAGCCATTTGGGTCTTTTACCTTGAATTCTATTGGACAGGCCATTTCCTTCAATCGAAAGACCAAAATTTGGGCCCTTTTACTCGTTTCCAATGGCTCACTCCATACTTCAGCCAACCCAATTCCCTTCCTGACCCGACCAAATTTCCCTCCTTCTCCTTTAGGCGAAAGCAACAAGTGAAAAGGAGTGTTACGATTTTGTCGGCTTTCTCAACGTCTCTTTCCGTTCGTATGAACCTGCAGTCGAGCAAGGAACGCGAGCATCGTCCTTCCGACGAGAGGACTCCACGTCGCCTTACAAGGAGGGGTAATTCGATCTTGAGCGTCGATGCCTCTTTACTTTTTCGTAATGGAGTTGAAACTTTAGGAAAAGGTTGTCTATCCGTTTTGGTGAAAGTTTTTGGTGGTGTTTTTGAATTTCGGAAGATCCTTGATCCCGAGTTTGCCCTCCCCCCCTAAATTCATGGCCCTCATTCTGGACCTCTATATAATCTTTTGATTCACTGCAAAAGGAGGAGGTTATTTTTCTTTTGAAAATTTTCAGAGCAAAATAGAAAGAGTTACAGAGAAAATTAGGAAAAAAAATTTGTTAAGAAATTTAGTCATTCATTATTTCAGCATGAAAAGCACAAAGAAAGCTTGAGGGAGAACATTGTTTTAATATAGAAAAATATTCCGAAAGATTTTTTTTGATAGCTCTTCTGTTTGGCATAAGCTGTTATCAAAGTTTGCATTCTTATTTACGTTCGAAGTTCTCGTCGTTGGTGAAAGTCGCCCATATCTTCTCGTCTGAGTTTCATTTCGATGCACCCTTAAAGGTAGGAGAAATGTGTTCAAACTTAATAGCAAATTTGTATGCCATTTCGCCCTTCACTCGATGGTCAGTTAGCTTTTATTCCTTCACTTTCTTTATGTCCAGTACTTTATGGTGGGTTTCACCTGCCTAATACTTCTGTTAATATCATTTCATTGATGTTTTGTTACATTTTTTTTCATTTCATTCTATTTTATCGGGAAGCATGCTTAAAATGGGTTTAATGTATGTGTTTAACTCATGGTCGAGAATAATATCGAGGTTATTTCATTTCCCCCTTTTCTGTTGTTTTGGAGTTTGTCTTTTGTTGCCTGAGGGATGATGCCCTTTCCGTTTTCTTAGTTTAACAATTGATATTTGTAGATTTATTGCCTACTAGATCGAGTTAATGCACAAATTAAAATTCTTATCATACATTTCGTATTCGTGCCTCGCTAATGTTTAAGCCTTATTTTCTTTAAAATACTTGAAGCATGAATTTTATTTGGCATTGATTACTGGGTATATATTTTTTTAGCATAAAGTCAAAGGATGGTCATTAATCATGCCTTGTCGGGATTTGGTTTGGTTTGTTTGGAGCAAGTAAAATGGATAGATAAACCGATCTTTCGATAGTGTGTTGTTATAAATGGTCTTAATTGCCTCTTTTTTTTGTGAGTTCCTCCATTTCGAACTATAAAAAGTTATAAGATATCGCTAAATATTTATTCCACTGTTGCTACCTTCTCTTTGGCAGGAAATGTTCAACTCTTATCACTTCTAATTATTTGGTACTAGTATGTTTTGAGATTATATAGAACATGGCAAGATTTGTCTATCTTTTTTTTCTTTTTTTCCTTTTTTTAAAACTG